AACTCATTTCCCAATTATCTGCAGATGTTTTTCGTTGTCCATATTTTTTAATGTAGCTTTACAGCTTATTTCCCCCCACTCTCTTCAGATATTAATGGTCATCCATATATATTAATGTAGATTAACAACTCATTTCTCCACTCTCTCTCCAGATGTTAATGGTCATCCATATATATTAATGTAGATTAACAACTCATTTCTCCACTCGCTCTCCAGATGTTAATGGTCATCCATATATATTAATGTAGATTAACAACTCATTTCCCAATTATCTGCAGATGTTTTTCGTTGTCCATATTTTTTAATGTAGCTTTACAGCTTATTTCCCCACTCTCTTCAGATATTTAAAGTTCAACTGACGTTCCGACAATACTGGATGGATAAACGACTCACGTTTAGTTCTCAACGTATCAGTTATTTGAGCGTAAACGATTACAATTCCGTTTGGACCCCTGATATTTTCTTTACCAACAGCTTCGGTGGAAAAGCCCTCAACCTCTTATCAACCAATAGCCTACTACGTATCATGCCTGACGGGAAAGTATTGTACAGCCGAAGGTGAGAAGTTTTGTTCGTTTTATCACAATTAGAAGTGTTCGTTTTATCACAATTAGAAGTATTCCTTCTTCACACAATTAGACGTATTCCCCTTTACACAATTAGAAGTAATAGCGAAATTAGCACCGTGTTACTGTTTCAAAATATTTGCTATCCATACACATTTGATCTAAAATGTATGACAAGAAATATTTTGTGAATTATCAAGCTATACAAAAGTTACGCCACCGTAATGTTTACAACTGGACTGCACACTATCTGATGAGAAAGTAAATATTTAGATGCATAAAATCGTTATTACCATTGTTACGTTACATGTTAATTCCTACCCACGATATCTGCCCTTCTCTCTGTGTGTTTGGATATCAAAAATTCAATCATCATCAAGTTTTATGGGGTATGACTTCCAATATAATGAAACACGATTCATTAACTGGTAATAAGCATGACATTATATCCCATTAAAACTAATGATAATTGTCACCAGTGATTTTAAAGTATCGATAATTCTGCTTACATTTTTAGGAGAGTTAATCAAACTCTAATTATGATTACCATATTAACTAAATTAGCATACTAAAATGTTTCTAATAGCTTTATGTGTGTGTTCTTTTTCCAGAATAAGCGTATGCAAACCTCTAATCACTTCAGCAGCAAGTATCTTAACCCTAATTTTATATTACGTTTTGAGCTCTGTTGAGCTTATATATATCTGCAATGATTTTGATGTAGAATATCACACACTTCACAACAATGATTTTGATGTAGAATGTCACACACTTCACAATAATGATTTTGATGTAGAATGTCACACACTTCACAACAAACTGTAATAATTGCAGTGAGCCTACATATATGCACGGAAATGAGTTAATTTTCCCAAAAATGACATTGTGCTCGTCGTCCAATGGATTTGTCAAAATATCACACATCTAACTTCTATTTTCAAGATTTTAATTATCAAGAAAAACTGACATGAATACAAGTTAATCCTCATGTTTCTAATAATACAAAAATAACCTTATTTTGTTTCACAAAAAGTGAATACACGTGAAAGTGATAGGCAGACCAAATTAACAAACTAATATTTCAAATAACGCCGTTAGTGATACATTAAATTTATAAATCTATTGAACTATATTAGTTATATAATATGAATAAAAACACCTTTGTATTAAGTAAGGTTTAGATAATCTTCAAATAATACAATAACATAAACTTATGAAGCTCGCCTATTATCACTCACTGTAGCCAAAACAAGACTCATTTTCTTATGATCAGTGGAAACTAATGAAAAAATTCATTTTCATCATATTCCACGACACGAAATTTATATTTATATTACAGTACAAAGATAGGTTTTTATCACAACAGATTAGTTTGATTTAAACTGAAATAATAAAGTAATATAATTTATGTTTAGATCAGAAGCTCCCAACTGATAACACATCAGCTAACAATATTCTAACTCAGCAGTTCGTGTCAAGCAACATTGTTTCTAAATATACAAAACCGCATTTCATGTCAGCTAACAATATTCTAACTCAGCAGTTCGTGTTAAGCAACATTGTTTCTAAATATTCAACACCGCATTTCATGTCAGCTAACAATATTCTAACTCAGCAGTTCGTGTCAGGTAATAATTTTAACTAACTCTGTAGTTCATATCAGATGATAATGTTTCTAAGTATATTTACACCGCAGTTCATGTCACATACAATGTTTTAACTAAATCAGCAGTTCGTGCCAGATAATAATATTCTAGCTAACGCTACAACTTATATCATTTAACCCTATTCTAACCCCACAGTTCATGTAAGATAACAACGTTCTCAACTAATATTGCAACTCATTTCAGATAACAATGTTTCTACTAATACCGTAGTTCGTGTTGCATAATAGAAATTTAATTTGTACCAATAACTTAAGTCTGATAACAATATTTCTATAACATCAACATTCTCTATCAGATAACAATGTTTCTACTAATACCGTAGTTCGTGTTGCATAATAGAATTTTAAATTGGACCAATAGCTTAAGTCTGATAACAATATTTCTATAACACCAACATTCTCTATCAGATAATAATGTTTTAATGTTATCTGTATGGAGACTATACTTTTCACAAATGCTGGATCTTATCAAGTAATCTAGGCCAATGTCAGGAATGTTTCAAAATATAGTTATATAGTTTCTTGTTGTCTAATACAGGTTAACACGTAAATCAAAGTAAAAGCAAGCGTTATGTTTCATACAACCACAGTATAAGCACCCTCATTTATTTATTTATTACTATTAATATTTTTAATTATTGTTGTTTTATTTCTCATGGATCTTGTGTGCATTGATAGACTTATGGTGTAATATCCTATAATGCTTGTGCAGGTAATTAGGCTTATCTTGTATTGTTTCTAAGACTTGTTTAAGTGAGAGCCATAATTTATACTATATTTCACAACTAGCTGGAGTACCAGTCCCCTGAACGAAAGTTATGTAAATTCATGACGAATGAAAGGGTTATCTTAGGACATAAACAGTTGCTTCCCTTATAAGTAATTGAAAAAAAAATATAAGCAAAAACGCCCATAAACCTGCAAAGCACAAAATGTGAAACTGAAAATTTGTATGTACCCCCACATGGACTTAATGAACCTCCATACCAAAGTTGGTGAATATCCATTCACACTCTGAGAAGTAGTTACATGGACGTACAACATACAGTATTATTATACTTATATATATGCCTAAGTAATCATTCTGATCTCACATATACTATTTATGAGAATACTGTAATCACTAAATGTTTATGCCAGTTATTAATCGTACAGTGTGCACCATGTCGTTACTAGTAGCTACAAAATGTCTTAATTCAGAAATTTTGCAGAATCACCTTTTAAAGCTAACGTGAGTTGGCCAGTGGATTACTGTTATCTTTAAAATTTTAATCTAATAGTCTATTGTCATGATATATACAGAATCACTCTGGAGTTATCCTGTGAACGAGAATTAGCCAAGTTTCCCTTGGATACCCTTACCTGCCCAATCATTCCCGCTTTGTGTAAGTATGTCAGTTGTATAAGTACGAATAATGCACATAGTTTCGTCAATAGCTATAAATATGAATAATACACATAGTGTTGTAAGTAATTATAAGTATTAAAAGCATTAAATATATGTTTCTACTTTCAACAGTTTTTTTGGATATAAATTAACATAAATTAAATCTCCAATACCAAGTGCATGTTCTAAGACTATTTTCTGTAAACACGATTTAAAATAAACAATCAGTTGAATAATCAAATGTGTCAATAACATGACAAGTTCGATCAGTGCTAAGACACTCTACTTTTATTATCTTCTAATTATATGGATTTTACTATACATCAGTTGTATACTTTTGGCTTACATCATATACTGTAAAGAAATTTATAACAGCTGCTAACAATAACCTAATTAAGACAGTAAGTGATATAATCCATTAGATATGAAGCTTGCATGGAAATACTAATTGAATGTGTAGTAATAACATTTACTGTGAGTGAGGTTTAATAAACAGTTCGACTGTAAAATACAACAGAAAAGAATATAGATAGTACCATTTATTATTGCTATATTCGTCATCGCTCCCTGTAGCGGAGGAAAACAAAACTAATTGCACTTGGAGGTTGTTATACTATCTAAAGCGGTTGTCTCAAAAAAATAGTCACCAAACCATAAACCATGCTTTATGTGTGTGCACAATGGAACGAGAAAAACAATTAACCTGTAAAAGAAAAACAAGACATCTGCCCAGATCTGTAATCTATTCAAAACGCGAAACTGTTAAGCGCTAACGAAATAAGAACAACATATAAACAACGTAATTCAACATTGTGCATGTTTATCTCAAAGAAACCTGACATGGCCCAGTGATTATGGCACTGTACTCGCAATCTGAGGGTCACGGGTTTGAAGCCCGTTCCGAACATGCTCGTCCTTTCAGCCGTTTGGGGCGATATAACGTAATGGTCAATCCTAATGTTTGTTTATAAAGAGTAAGTAGCCCAAGAGTTGGCGGTAGATGGTTTTTCAAGTCTATCATTTCACAATTAGGGATAACTAGCGCAGCTGACCCTAGATATGCGACGTTAAAAAAAAACAAATAATCGTAATTTGGACTCAGCAGGGGAAAAAACAAAGACTAATCTATCACTAATATACAGATACCATTTTCCATATGTGTTAGAAGTCTAGTCACTCAACGTAAAAATCTAATGTTACTAAAGCAAGAGGGCGCTAAACTAATCTTACGAAAAAAAGAGATCTAATGACAGGAACGAAGAGGGTTACAATAAGGGATTGCTGCAGTATATTTTTAATAATACAGAAAGTTGTAACAGTCTAATATTAGTAATAAAATATGTTGTTATAGCTTAATGGTAATAGTATGCATGATTCTTACAACAGACTAATAATGTTTATGACAGGTATTTTACAGCCTAATATTACAAACGATAGTTACAATATAATATTACAATCTAATATTGTAGCCTAACGTTACAAAAAGTAATAATAGCTTAATGTTACAATCTAATATTGTAGCCTAACGTTACCAAAGGTAGTTATAGCTTAATGTTACAGAAGGTATTAACAGTGGCGTAGCCAGGTTTTCCACTCGGGGTGGGGGCAGAAAAGTTTAAGGGGGCAATAAATTAAAGAGCTGAAACTGATCTAAATTTTTAATAAAATGATCATTAATACAAAACAAATTAAATGTAATAGTGTTTATAAAAGTTGTATTTTTTTATTACAAAACGAATTTATTATATATAAAAGCCGAAAAATAATATGTTATCGATATGCCTAGATTTTTCAGGGGGCCGGGCCCCCTTGGGCCCCAACTTAGCTACGCATCTGGGTATTAACTGATTAATGTTAAATGTTTTTTGACACTCCTTGTAATACTTTATGATTAACTAAAGAAAGGATGAATAATTATGATAATTCAAGCAACTGTATCATAACTTACACTTCTTCCTTAAGTTAAAATTACTTGAATAGTTGTAATACCAGGATTTCCATGTGAAAATATAATTCGTTTGCTAGCTAAGTTTAATCCTCACTGTACCAGAACTCCCGTATTGTATGCCAAATTGTCTGGGAGTTCGGTTTAATTTTCATATTAATTTAATTAATATAAAATATATTGTCCAACCAGTAATTAGGATTAATCTTTACTACACCAATACTGCCATGTGAATCTATACAGTCAATCCGGTAATTAGGCCTAATCTTTACTATACCAGTATATCCACATATAAAACTATATTGTCCAACCAGTAATATCGGAAGATTGCGTTTAATCTTTACTACACCACTACTGCCATGTGAGCTATACTGTCAATCCGATAATTAGGCCTAATCTTTACCACACCACTACTGCCATGTGAGCTATACTGTCAATCCGATAATTAGGCCTAATCTTTACTATACCAGTACTTCCACATATAAAACTATACTGTCCAACCAGTAATTAGGATTAATCTTTACTACATCAATACTGCCATGTGAAGCTATACAGTCAATCCGGTAATTAGGCCTAATCTTTACTATACCAGTACTTCCACATATAAAACTAAATTGTCCAGCCAGTAATTAGGATTAATCTTTACTACACCACTACTGCCATTTGAAGCTAGAGTGTCAAACCGGTAATTAGGCCTAATTTTTACTATACCAGTCTTCCACATAACTATACTGTTCAACCAGTAATTAGGCTTAATCTTTACTATACCAGTACTTCCACATATAAAACTATGCTGTTCAACCGGTAATTAGGCTTAATATTTACTATATCAGTATTTCCACATGCGAAACGAAACCGTACAGTGATTAGCAGGTAAAATTCACTAAGAACGCCATTTGTTACAATACTCAATTTGTATCGAGAGTTTCTATTTAACTATTTAAATAAGTTAAACAATCAAGTAAGAATTAACAGACCGTCACTCACTTGTTGAAGCTGTCTGTGACTATTTTTTATATATAATATAGGAAAAATTGTCACTTTCATGAATAGTTATATACATCCAGCAAATAGAAAGTACGTTTATTTGTTTGTTTTAAAGCACAAAGCTACACAAAAGGCTATCTATGCTCTGCCAATCGCGAGTATCGAAACCTGATTTTTAGCGTTATAAGCCCTCAGACTTTTCGCAGAGCCGTTGTGAGGCAACGAAAAGTCGATTTCCTTCCTCTAGTGTGTCGTAGTCGGGAAGTCTATATACAGAAGTAAAATGAAAGAATTTTAAACTTTAGTAGGGTTGATATATACGTCACCTAGCTAGCCATAGTAATATATTAGGTCGTCAAGAATATAATGTCGCGTTTTGGAAC